TCTTTGAAGACCTGTTCTTTCCACTGGGATCTCACTCACAGAGATCTTTTTGCCAGAGTGTCTTGGCTTTCCATGCCTGAAATACTCTCATGGGCTTTTCAGCCAGATCCGAGTGCCTTTAGGGCTGATTCTGAGGCCAGAGTTCCATGCTTAATTTTGATGAGGCAGAGCAATGTTCATTTCCTGTGATTTACAAGGCAGCACTGATTTTTACGTTAGACTAGTCGATACAATTGTGCCCATCATCAGCCTGAACTCCATTTGTATGAAATCTCTCCCAACACACAGCATTCTTTGAATCTTCAAAACACAGCAACAGAATTACTCATCGGTGAGATAGAAATGGTTATCCATGGAGTCATTTCTAGACAGCCAACAACACTCAGCTGCTCCACACTGGCTCCATTGCCACTCTTTGCCAAGTTTGTCCTGGTAGGTTTCTGACGGACAGTGAGAGGCTCGAGCTATGTGAAAAGTGGGGTTAGTGCACTAATATAAAGCACAGAGAGGAGAAGAAATTTGGTCAAGAGTGGGAAATTGTTCTCTGGGAAAGTCTTCCTTCCTCTCCACTTTGAACATGATCAAGATGTGCCACATATGTATGTAATTTGCACAGAGAAGCAAGTCAATATAAACAATGCAGAGACTGGCCATGGATTACATTTGCACAGGACTTCACAAGCAGAAATTTAACTTGTAAATTTTGACTTAAGACCCATGTGTTAAATATTATAAAAATGAAAATTAAAGAAGATTCTAGAACAGTTCTCAGGGAAGGAGGCAGTTTTTTGCTAGGGGCACATTTGGCAGGGTAAATTTTGGGCTCACACCTGGTGGGGTGGGGGTAAGAGGAGCTGCCACCTGATGGGCAGCCAAAGGCCAGGGTGCTGCTAAGCATCCCATCTCTCCCAGAGACCTTCCCTAGACCAGAAGGATCAAAAAACTGTCAGCGAGACCAAGATGTGAGAAGCAAAACACCATGTTTCTTTTGAAAAATATTTCTCCCCAAAGGACAGCCAAGACACTTGGATAAGCCTGTCTCTCTTAAGTATCGGAGTTCTAATTTTTGATTTTCCAGAAGATCCACCCTAAGAGCACAGTTTCCATGTGAAGAAACTTGAAACAAATGTGTGACCTGACATGACTACTGACTTAAGATTCCTTCTCGAGAGATGAGAACAGCCCAGTTTCACTACCAAAAGGAAAGCAAAAACTATCACTGCTTATGACTGTGGAAAATTGGTGACCTCAGGGAGAAAAAAATACTCCAGAATAGAACAGAGGAATATAAGCCACATATGGCCCCATCATTGTGCTCCCTTGAGATGTCAGGACATTCAGTGAAATACATAGGCTGACTCCCAAAAGCCCCTTCTTTTCTTCAAGAATCAGGTATCCTGCATCATATAGGATTGTTGGTAGAATTAATAATCTGGAGATGAAGACTCTGTGGCCAAAAATATCCTACACGAAGGATCTCTGTGAGACCTCAGTGGAAAGAAGGGGCCATCAAAGAAGAATGTACTTTTCTCTGAAGGGAAGAGAGAACTTACACTTTGCTTATGGCCGTGTCCAAATAACGATAGCGTCTATGGTCACAAAAGGCTTCCATAGCTTTAGTATGGCAAGAGCCTCGGGTAATCACTGACACCATAAATAAGAGTGTCAATTGTTAGAGGAACAACAGAAGTCACTGTGCACTTGCTCCCCATGCAGGACCTCTGTCCTTAATGAGTTGTACTATGAGAATTACTGCAAAACTTGTTCCCCAACTGTATCCTAGATGTTATGTGTGTGGGGGGTGGAAACTGTTGAAATCTGTATTCAACATAGAGTTGGTCCTCTGTATATAAAATCAAACTAAAAATGAACCATAATAAAAAAATAAAAATAAAGGTGATTTATTGGAGCCAGGGATATAGGCATACTATGTGCATTTACCAAATCCACCCCCCCCAACTTAGTTACAATTTGCTGATTGGAATTAAGCTAGTTTGCTTGTTTTCACTCACTTCATGAGTTACAAATGGAACATGGTCTTTATGTCTTTCCTCTCTGCCTAACTTTCCCAAATTTTATCAGTTCCACATCCAGAAAACTCCCCCTTTGGCCTGCAGGGATCTCTTCTTCATTTTTATTCATATTGTCTGCACCTTTTCAGTAATTGCTTTGTAGTATTTTGTGTCAGCTATACTTTTTTATATTCTGCAACACCTAATACACAGTGCAATAAATATTTTATTGAATTTAAAAAATAATCTGGCCGGCGCCGCGGCTCACTAGGCTAATCCTCCGCCTAGCGGCGCCGGCACACCAGGTTCTAGTCCCGGTCGGGGCGCCGGATTCTGTCCCGGTTGCCCCTCTTCCAGGCCAGCTCTCTGCTGTGGCCAGGGAGTGCAGTGGAGGCTGGCCCAAGTGCTTGGGCCCTGCACCCCATGGGAGACCAGGAGAAGCACCTGGCTCCTGGCTCCTGCCATCGGATCAGCGCGGTGCACCGGCTGCAGCGCGCTGGCCGCGGCGGCCATTGGAGGGTGAACCAACGGCAAAGGAAGACCTTTCTCTCTGTCTCTCTCTCTCACTGTCCACTCTGCCTGTCAAAAAAATAAAAAAAAAATAAAATAAAATAATCTGGAGATGGTCAAAGCGAATTAGGCTTCTCAGAACCTCAACATGAGAAGGGACAGGGTACCCTCTCTCTCAGCAGCCCAGACTCAATTAGCTGTGCTAAACATATTCCTTACTTGAGCACTGTGTATGCTCCATTACTGTGTGAAATTTTAATTCTAAAAAGGTATGAATTTATTTTAATGATTTACATGAGGGGTTAGCAATTTCTGCACATCACAAAGTTGTCATGTATCATATTGGACTTCATGGAGTCAGGAACTGAGCTGCATCTTGGGAATGGAAACAAGAGGTGGAAACACAAGAGGTGTTTTTCATCAACACTGGAGCTGGTTAGAATCACAGCCGCAGTCTCTCTGCCACCTCCTCGTGACAAGCAGGGATGAGGGCCAGGTTCCTGTTCTGTTTTCTTGTCACGGCACTCAGTGTACCCTGCAAGTTTGTGTGGCGATGGAGAAGTATGTGGACTCCAGACACAATGGGCAAACTCCACTCTTCAGGGACACATTTCAGTCTTCCGGTGTCTCCCAAGAAGCAGGCTCATTAAAGACATCTTTCTCCTTACCACTTGAAATGCTATGTGGCACAACTGTGCACTTTAAATCCTAGGTTGCAAAACTGTGCCTGGGACTAAAATAACAGCATCTTTACATTTCTAGAGAACACAGTTCAGCTATAGCATATGATACGGTGAGACAGGCACCTTTAGAACAGATGAGCAGGGAAGTCACCATACCCAAACTCAGTTACTGTTGCTGATTTTCTACCAACCACGTGCTTTATGCTTCAGATTACGTTAAAGGAGTATGTCTAAGTGTCTCATGCATAAAGGAATAGGCAAGATGTATCACCAAGAACCATTAGAGCAGTTGGTAAAAGTGCTTTACTTGGCTCTTACAATACATGTTCTTCTAATTCCAAAAGAGAGTAAATACCACATGGCACCTCTTAAATATGTACAATTGTTGCCAGCTAAAAATAAATCAGAAAAAGAATGAAATTCAGTAAAACAAATGTAAGAAAAATCTATAAACTATTAAAAGAAAAAATATAAAACCAGTGACTGTACAAAGAGCAATACTTAGGGTGTAGGGGATCGGCAACTTAGGTTTCTAAGGGTTTTACATACATTCACTCATTTCATCTTGCATGCCTGTTAAATTATCCCGTGTTACTGATGAAGAAATGCAGCTGGAGAGATGAGTCATTTGCCCAACATCACACAGCTCCTACATGCGAGCTGGTATCTGACTTCAGCCCTGTACAGAACTTACATGTCCATCTAGGATGCTCACCTGCCTTCCAAACTTGGTTCCACTGCTGCTTTGAGCTTCACCTCAGCAAGTCAAGAATAACACTCATCTCAAGAGCTAACCTCCTGAGAAATTCATCGGGTAGATTGTAGTATGATTAACATCATGCCACAGGACAAGCACATTAGTAACTTGTGAAAGATTCAGAAGTATTCTTCAAAAAAAATTTTTTTTCAGGGAGTGAGCACTTAGTGTAGAGGTTAGCACTTCTGTGCCCCACGTCAGAGTACCTGAGTTTGCTTCCTGGCTCCTGGCTCGAGTTCTGGCCCAGCGCCAGCCTTTGGGGACATTAGAGGCGTGAATAGCAGACAGGAGCTCTTTCAGCCTGTTTGTGTCTGCCTCTCAAATTAAAATATATTTGTGACATGAACTCTCATTAAAAAGGGCTTGAATGGTAACTCAGTGAACATGGCTAATGGAATTTGAAATCTGGATTTCCTAAAGAGAAGGGCGCTGATGCTCCCCGTTTTGTTTTCTTCGTAGCCTTTCTAACAATCTGCAGTTACCCTGTCTGTGTGGTTCTGTGCCTCAGCACTGCTGGCCTCCCTTGCTAGGTTAACAGCCAGGACCTGGCTGCCTTGTTTACCTACATCTTCAGGACTCAGAGAGGCTGGCACGGCAGGTGCTCAAAATTGTGCTGGAACACTCTTCTCTGCCTCCAAGTTTCAGCTCCAGTGTCTCCAGCTATAGCATCTTCCAGAAATTTCCAGATCCTGCTAAGTGCCCCTCCTCCATGGTCCCCACCACCACCTTTTTTAGGACTTCCCGAATTTTATTTAACCATCTCTTAAAGCTGTCTGTCTCCTCCATGTGATTGCAGGCATACCCTTGGGAACAGGAACTGTGTTGCGCTCTTTTCCTCTCTACGGTTCCTTGCACATAGGGTAGTGTGTCAAGTGAGCTCGGCAGATCGCGATGGAAACAAATCAGGTTGCCCGTAAGCCGTGATGTTCTCACCAGGCCTGACCTTTCATCCTGCATTCAAAGCTCACATTTGACAGGATTCGGCATTTGAGAACAACTTCTGTAATGTAATGTTTCCTTATTTCTCTTCCTTTTCAGGAACCTCTCTGGAGCTACACAACATAAAGGGAGGAATCATGTCCATGATCGCGGCTTTCTACAGCGGCAAGTCCATCCTCATCACAGGGGCCACGGGCTTCATGGGCAAAGTGCTGATGGAGAAGCTGTTGCGCACCAGCCCCGACCTCAAAGTCGTTTACATCCTTGTGAGGCCCAAGGCTGGCCAGACGCTACAGCAGAGGGTCTTCCAGATCCTCAACAGTAAGGTATGTCTTAAGGGAGGGACCTCTTATGATGACGAGCAGAGCCCTAAAGCAAGGCGCCAGCTCCGTCCCTCGAAGCTAGTGGGGGCCGGAACGTCCGCATGGCCAAAGGTCAGAGGCTGATCAAGGTAGCAGCCACCTGGGTGCAGAAATCCATGGGGTTTTCTCCAAAACAAAGGCGACGCTGCCTAGGCTCAGGAGGGGGCAGCTGAGGAAATTCTGGGAGTTCTGTTCTGGAAGTCAGCGAGAATCAAAATTCTCAAGCTCCCGGAGTGTGGGGCAGGTGGGAGCCTGGCACAGCTGTGAAGACGCTGCTTGGGATGCCCTCATCCTCCCCTATCAGAGGGCCTGGGTTCCAGCCAAATTCCAGCTTCCTGCTGAGGCAGACGCTGGGAGGCAGCAGGTGATGGCAGGCACAGCGCTTGCATCCCTGACACCCGAGTAGGAGGCCTGAATTGAGTTCTGGGCTCTTGGCTTTGGCTTGGCCCAGCCCTGGCTGTTGCAGGCACTTAGGGAATGAACCAGAAGATGGAAAGCAATCAATCAATCAGTCTCTCTCAAATGAATTGAAAATTTTTAAAAATCCTTCCGAGTAGACGCTCAATTTGAAATCTGTCACAGTTCATCTAAGCTCTTCACTAATTCCCCTCTAAATTTAATCTAGTTTTTTTAATCCCCAATTTTTTGGATATTCATATGTTATGTTGCATATGGAGGAAAGATTCCTAAGGAGTCTGCAATAATGCTGTCAGTTGTCTCAGCTCTACAAGATTTAGCAGTTATGTCTTTTATTGTTGCAAACTTGCAATTTCCATTACCCCAGAATTTATTCTAAGGTAAAAACATTGGAAATGAAATATTATAACTGTGAATAAGCATTTGGATATCTAAACTCTGTTTCCTCTAAAAAACTGTAATATATATATCAAGTTTTAATTTTTAATTTTCAAGGCAATATGGTTTTGGTCTCAAGCATTCTGGATGGAAATTCTGATTTATCAGTGAGCTCCAGATTTCCAGAATTTAAAATAGAAATGACAGCAGCCACGTCCCACTGCACTGTGTGGAGTGTACAAGGTCACTTAAGGCTAGAAAAAGGAAAATTTTAAGAAACTTGTGAGTTTTTATGACGCTTCCTGTCCAGTGTATAGGAGCTCTAGCAGCTGACAAGCACATGTGTCTCTCATGGTGCTGCCCATTATACACACACTGCCCATGAACTCTGGTGGGATCAAATCCGTCCACTGGCACCAGGGTAAACTTTTGGCATAGACCATCATTAAGTGAATCAGAAAAGCTCCTCCTGCCTCTCACTGTCTGACCAATGATAATAGGAATTAGCTAGATCCTCAGTAACTACAACACACTGTTGAAAGGGTCTTTTATGCTGTATGTCAATTTTCTTTGCAATAAACCTGTGTAAATAAGAACCATTGATAACATCCTATCATAGGTGGGTGACATTGAGACTTGAACCATTGATTTGCCAAGGTCTATTATCCACCTACTAAATGGGAGAGTCAGACTTCAGGTCCAAGGTTACCAGACCTGCTTCTACCCCACTCTGCATTCCTGGTGAATAATGGGTCTTAAGACTAACAGTCAAAGGCTGATAGACATTAAACCAGAACCTCAAATCAACTCCCAGTTCCCTCCAGACAGCACTGCTCAGTCGTGCATTCCTCATGTTCATTATTCCCATCCCATCGCAGACACACCTCTGTAGTCAGTAGCTCTGGAGCCAGCTGCAGACACCTAGGGAAATAGCATAGCAGTGTCCTGTGGTCAGCCTCATATTCACCTGCTGCTTTTTGATGCCTTGGTTCTGCTGTGTCTGACATCTGTGAAATGCCTTGCCACTCTTCACACTTGCTACCACACTTGGGCTCTTTATTGTCAGCTGCCGGCTGTTACAGGCAGCAGTTCTCCAAGTGTTGACCCATGACCAGCAGTCTGTCAGCTGGGAACTTTCATGGATGGGTTGCAGAGGTAGACTGATCTCAGTTGGAATCTCAGCACTACCAGTTATTAACCTTGGGATGGTGCGCAAGAGAGCTACCTTGTTGCATTGCACCTTGATTTCCCTATCTTTAAAATGGGGCAGTAACACATTCCTCACTCAGGCAAATCTATCTCCCACGTACTTCCTCTCTTCTTTTTCTCTGCTTCTCTCCGTTCCAGATTCAAATCCAGTTCTGACATCATAAGGTATGGTTTTAACCACTAATGGTCTCACTTTAAGTTATGCAAATAGAGTTTATTTGCATAAATTGTTTTCTTCATATATTTTTCCCAAAAGGAATTGTAGGGAAAAAGAAATCTTTAAATGCAATAGATTCATTTATTTATTTGAAAGATACAGTGACTGAGCATGAGGGAGAGAGGGAAGGAGAAAGAGAAATCTCCCACCCACTGGTGCACTCCAAAATGTCTAACAACAGCCAGGAGCCAGGAACTCCATCCTGGTCTCCTACATGCGTAGCAGGAGCCCAAGTAATTGGGCCATCTTTCACTGCATTACCAGGCACATTAGCAGGGAGCTGGATGGGAGGTGGAGCAGCCAAGACTCAAACTAGGGCTCTAAATGGGATGCTACAAGCAGCGGTTTAACCCACTGCACTGTAATGCCTAGCTCAGAAACGTCCTATTTGGAGGCAGTCTCTGGGTTTGCCTGGCTACAAACCAGAACAGAGTCTATCTCCTGTATCACACATGCAGAGCACGGAGGGTGTGGTCTGCATGGGAAACGGTGGGTGATTGAGTTGGCTTCAAGAGGTGTACTGAGTCCAGGTCCTGAGGGTTTTCAAATACTTACAGAAAATATAAATAAAATTGTCTTTAAAAACAAAGATCATGTATTGACGATGTAATGGAAAACCCGCAGTGCTGGAGTGGTAAGGAGCGTGACCGCCCTGGAGCTCAAGCTGTCTCCGTCTGTGAGCCCCTCAGCTCTACCATTTTGTTTGGGCTTTGTGCCCCTGTGACTAAGACGGTTGCCATAGTTTCAAGCTTTACAAACAAGGGTACTTAAAAAAAAAAAAAAACATAGGAAATGGAACTCAAAGATATATCTATTTTAGTGCAAAAATATTTTGAAATGCATGCACAGTTTCATCATATGACACATCTGGCATGATCCTTTTAAAGACACCTGTGCACCTGTGACAGCCTTTGGATGGACAGGGGCTGGAGCTCCCTGAGCTCTCCAAGGCTGACAGACATCTCGGCTAGACCCCTCAGGGAAGTTCCGTCTGCTCAGCCTGGGTGAGGCCGCATGGCCGTTGCTGAAGCAACCCTTGGGACCTGAGGAACGCCATGCCCTAAAGTGTTCCCAGATCACAGCTCTGCGCCAGTCGCTGCTCAGGGATCCATCACTCCTTCCCTGGAGCTCAGGTGAGGTCACCGCTCCTGAGGCACTGTGGCTGCCTGAGAAGGGTGACAGCTATGTGCTAACTCAGACCCTTGAAAAGAGACAGGAGCATGGGCATCAGCAGGTGAACATCCTAGGTAGAGCGTGGTTTCCAGAACCCAACAGAACTGAGATGGTGTCCTCTCCTGTCTGCTGAGGCATGTGACGGCGTAACTGAGCCTCCGGTGGCCACTCTGCATGGTGCTGCCTTTTGTGCTGTCGTGAGATGGAACAGAGCTGGTATGGGAGAGGCACTAGGAGAGTGGGCCAGAGCCGGGACTCAGCGAACGCTGGCTTTTACTGTTCATATGCACGTAGCGAGGGAGTTTGAACGGTGCTCTCAGCACATGGCACTCCAAGCCAGGGTCTCTTCTGCCTGCTGACAGCTCGATGATTTCCAACCCTGTAAATAACATCACGATGCAAAGCAACACAGATGAATATGTGACAGAAGTCAAGGGACTCACAGACTTAAGAATATTTAGTACCTAACCCATGCACAGAAGGTTGCCAATTCTTGGAACAAAGGGTCAGAAATATGCCATCTGATCCAGCACACCTAAACCTATCATGTAAGATACGTTTTTATAAAATCACCTTAAAGAGCCAGCTGAGCAAGAGGCAAAGTAGGGAAACTTCTAGAAGTCCAGAAATGAAAAGGAAGTACACACATGGGGGAAGAACATCTCACTGTGAGCTTGCAAATATGGCAAATATTTAACTAACAGCCAAAAATCCCGGGTGCCATGGGAATAGCAGGGATAAAGTAGTGAAGGGAACTAACTTGCAAACTGGCCTCACAGATCTCTGGACAAGTTTTACAAGATCTAAATGTATATTTATGCATTTTGAGAAATGCCATACAGGAACAGCACAAGGTACTTTGAGATATTCGCAAATGGGACTTGTTTTAAAATTCTGTGCCCAGGGGATGACCCAAGATGATGTCACTAAAGCTCAGAGATGATTGCATTCAAGAAAATGCCAGAGGGTGACCATGGCTTTAGTGCACTGAGCTGGTGGGATATTACAGAAAATGCCCCATATTTTTAAAATCTAGGGTCTGGAGCTGTGGTTAAGCCTCCTCCTGCAGTGCTGGCATCCCATATGGGTGCTTGTTCGAGTCCTGGCTGCTCCACTTCCAATCCAGCTCTCTGCTAATGGCCTGGGAAAGCAATGGAAGATGGCCCAAGTGCTTGGGCCCCTGCACCCATGTGGGTGATTCAGAAATAGCTCCTGGCTTCTGGCTTCAGATCAGCCCAATTCTGGCCTTTGCAACGATTTAGGGAGTGAACCAGCTGATGGGAGGTCTCTCTCTTTCTCCCTCTGTCTGTAACTTTGTCTCTCAAATAAATAAATCTTTTAAAAAATCCATCATGCATATTAAAATTAGCCTTCATATAGAATATTTTCACTTTTTAAATAAAATGCTGCAAAAATACTGAACTACATCATTCTCCCTTTTAGTGTCAATCTAGACTCTGCCTGTTTTGTATGCCTCTATCTGACCACAGAAGTCAAAAATTTACAGAAGGATAATTAATGCCTTTTGCCACAAAACCAGAAACAGACTGAGCAGTTTGATGCTGTAGTA